ACAAGAGTTCTACCCGGTCTAGAGTGAAGGTGAAACCTACCCTCACCTCATTTTAACGTATCAAGCGAGTAGCAAAACAGAAGGTAGGCAAGATTCAAGGTTAAACCTCGAACCCTGTTCAGAGCAAGAAGACAGGAGAGAATATGGAAGAAATTAGGGTTAACCTGCAGATGAGCCAAATTCAACACCGACAAAACCCGAAGATAAAAAGGGTTCAAAGGGAATCGAAAGGCGGGAAAATGCAAGGCTGAGAAAAGCATTTTGCCCTCCTCCAAACCCTCACCTATACTAAAGTTTAAATCATGGTCATACTCCTCAAGGGTAACGTCAGAAGGAACACGATTCTTCTTTCTCAACTAAGAAATCGAAAAGGACTTCCTTTCTACAACATCTGCAGGGAGGACTATGGGACCCTCAACATAATCGCTGAGACTCACCGCCACAGTTCCCGACTCAGAATCAGACATGTGAACACTACGAGTTCGTTCACCACTTTCTTGACTCATTATATAAGAAAGATAAAACAAAAAGAAGACTAACCTTGGCGGATGGAATGAAATGTCGAAGCAGCTAGCAATCAGGTTCTCACCAAAACTCAGGAACAAAATCACAGATGTAGATGCCCAAATCACGAAAGCGTAGTATATAAGCTGAAAGGGGCGGATAGCGGAAGGGCAAACACGATGTCCCAGACTCGACAGCATGAACGGTAATGATCAGCCGTAACAGCCGCGAAAACTTCTCCACTTCCCGAAAACGGTTACAATTCCTTTTATGAATCAAATTCATAAAAAGGAATTAGGGACAAAGTATGGAAGGAAAAAAATCACACCAATCGCAAAACAACACGTGGCGACAAAAGGCAGCCTGCAAAAAGGCTAAAAGCCCATAATAAGACATAAGCCCAGCGAAGGAAGGCCTACTTAAAACAGAAGTAGAATAAACAGGCCCAATTCTGACAAGGCCCAAACTCCATAACGCCCACAATAATGTCAAATGCATGATCTGTAGGCATAAATTACCCACGTTTGGGAATAAAAGCTAAGAAACGGCTCCATGTAAATTCCTAAGCTAAAAAACACTTATAAATAGAGCCTGATCAAAGGTAAAAGGCATGAGACTCTGAATACAATCACTATCTCAAAGATTTACTTGCTCCCTTCTTAATTTTTTCTGTATGCTTTCCATAGTCGATCCCTCTTGGTGTTCGGGTGTAAAAAATTGCACCCACACCACTAAACATCACCATTCTAGACACTCAATGTATGATGAATGAGGGGAAACATGTGTTGCAATACAATGAGATATGATTAATTGAATCAACAAGCATGGATTAACCAATTAAGTATACATTGTCTAAACAACCTAATGAATAGCACAATATATCAAACTAAGCCATTATTCCTTCATTTAAGCTCACAATAAACACACTAACAAGTTAGAGAATGATACTCCTTGTAGTCATAAGTATGGAACATCAAATAGCAAGCATGGATTGTCCTCATATCTAAGAAAGTAAAGCAGCTACACTACTTCTAAGCTAAGGACATGAAAATTAAATTAAGGTAGAGGCACAATCCATCAAGAAATGAGTCTGAACCATCAAACAAACCACAAGAGTATTCTCTTTAAGCACTATGCCTTGACAATCTCTATATTCATAGCATCAATACACATAGACATGCATCAATATCACTAAACCAAGAGATAAACACATGAACATCTACTCTAGCATACATAGACATATGGATAGAATGAAATGATCAATTGGAAGTATTAATCAACATAAATCTTTGTAAGAACAAGATTCATATATAAATCAAGTGTCAAGACAACATTACAACACAAATCCCCTCAAAATACAAAGCATTAAGGTCTAGAAGGCATGCTTAGGGCTAACTCTAGCCCCAAGAAGATGTTTAGCCACTCATTGATGTAGTCATCCAACCCTCAAGGGCCATCTCTATGGTAGAAATGCTCTTTTTCTTGATGGAAACCCTAGAAGAATGGAAGAACTCCCAAAATAGTGTATATCTCTCTAAGCTCTAGCCCCCTCTCCAAGATATGTGATGGTATGTAAGTTATGGTGAGAAATGATGTAAAAATAGCTCAAAATCCTTATATAGGTAGCTCAAGTGTGACACCCAATGGTCAAGTCTCATGCACTAGGGTCTCTTTAATGATTGTACCATGAGCCATCTTTTAATGAGCTGGACTCTGTTTTATTTCAGACTTGAGGAGGTTCGATCGATCGAATTCAGATGACATCGATAGAACTGTGGCCAGATCCATCAAAGTTAGGCCAGATCGATCAATCCTTGGCGGAGCCTTTTTGGAATACGACAAGTTTCTGAGATATTTTGGGATATTTTGGGAAAAAGACAAAAGTGGTAGGTGAAAATAAGATCAAGGAAGTTCGATCGATCTGAATAAAGTTAGATCGATCGAAAATGGAATTTCTTTGAGGATAGTGATAAGGAGTCTGATCCATCTTGGTGAGGTGAGATCGATCAATGTCTGATCCATCTTGGTGAGGTGAGATCGATCAATGTGAGATCGATTGAAAATATTCCTGATCGATCGAAGATTACTGATTTCCACCACTTTGCTTCCACTTTGCTCCATTCTTCCATTCAGCTTGAGATTGCTTCTTTTATTCTAATTTGGCTGAATTGACTTATTTTGGGGATAAACATCTAAAAAGGGCAGTAACATGAAATTAGTCTAAAACGAGAAAGTAAGATAGATAAAGGTCATAGAATACTCGAGCTGAAGGGGTTTAAATGTGCACTTTTTAGAGCTCATCAATCTTCTTAAAATGTTGTTCATACCTTTTTCATAGATCTCGGTATATCAACTGGAACAACTTTCCATTTTTCGTAAATCTCGGTATATCAAACTTGAACAACTTTCTAATTTCGCAATTGATCTCGATCTTGAATTTTAAACTTAAAATTACAACTTGATCGGACTTGTTTTGACATTGAAATTTGCCAATTTCAAAAATTATATCTCACAATATACTATACATTAATCTGACAATTGTGTCAACAATTTTTATTTATTTTTTAGTTTTTAAGAGAGATAATACACTATTAGCGAAAACATATAGAGATAATTTTTTTTTTTTCTTTCTAAAAGGTGAGAAAATCCTTAAAAGTGGGTTAATTATAGTTAATGTGCACATAATACCCCTATGCTATTAGATTATTAGCATACATACCCTCTTGGGCATTTTCGAAAGAGTAAAAGGGCCAAACAAGTATTACAATATTACTTTATGTCAGATTTCTAATTGAGGGGTGTTTTCACATAAATTTTCAAGAATAGGGGCATTTTTAGCACACTTTTTCAAATAAGGATGAAAATGCTACGCAAAGTATATATTAAAGATATTTTCTGCACTTGACCCAATTTCTTCATGAATTCGTATTTATAATGTAGTGATGCAGTAGAAACTAAATTGAAAATTATGTTAATGCAATTGAAATCACGATTTGCGTAGAAAATTTATACCAAGTATATATATCTATATAGTAAAGTAATTCTGAAACACAATTCAATTTGGCATGATTTTAAATATTATGAAAAAATAGGGATAACATTCTAATGACTAAACGGAAATAAATACGAATAATCACAACAATTGGAGTTGAATTCTACCCTCAATAAAAATTTCTAAAATTTTAAGTCATTTTATGCATAACACAAAAATGAGGCACACAAAATTTGGCTGAAAAATGGCATATGTTGAAAGCAACACGAGCAACAGTAGTAAGCAACACTAGTAAGTTTACAGCTTACCCTTTTACCTAAAAAAAAAACACTAGTAAGTATTGATTGTAGGAACGATTCCTCAAAATTGGGACTCCACGAGTTGAAACAAGCTTGCCTAATTACATTAGAAAAACATGTCTCGTTTAATTATATTAGAAAAGCATGTCAACCTCTTTGTTTAGCCTTTCAATGATCCAAATAGTCGACATAAGCTTCAACAATCTGTTTGTTTTTTGTTTTCTTTTCTAATTGATGGAAAATTGAGAATTTAGTCTTCATATTTCCACTCTAAAACCTTTGGTTGGAATTTGGAAGGACTGGAATCTTCCTCCCTCGTGCTGTCGTCCTCTGCTGCGGCCAAACTAAGGGTTATGAGCTTTGGGTTTCGATTGTCATCATCGGCTTTGCCACCGGAATTGCATCAAAATTCCACTCTGCCGCGGCCACCGGACTTAAGGGTTTTGAGCCTAGGGGCTTCGATTGCCGTCATCGGCTTTGCCACCGGAATTGCATAAGAAGCCCACACTAACGGCATCAAGACTGTTATTTTTGGCTTTTTGATTGAATTAGGGGCTGGGCCTTGGGCCGAAGCATCTTGTTATTTGTTGTTTGGGCTTCTCTCTACTTCCCCAAGAATGTTTGGGCTGGTTTGGGCCGAAGGCATATCACTGCACATTTTACTCTATTACAATATATTTAAGCTTCACCTTTTAAAATAGCACAATTTTTTTTTTTTTTTTTTTTTTTTTTTTTTTTTTTTTCAGTAAGAAAGACAAATTACTTAATTCAGTAACAATGTAAATCTTGGAATTCTGAAACAATGATTACTTCTTGAAAAAGAAAATTCCATTCCATTTCGGTCTCTAATTTTATGATAGCAACCTGTTATTTAGTATTTGTTGTATTCTGCAGAGAAATTTTAAGATGACTTTTTGACAAAGATTATTTTTGTCAAAATTTACACGGTCCAAATATTTGGCACAGTCGTAATACTCACTGTTTCTTGTGAAACCCATTATAAATAACGATGTGTCATAGATCACTTATCAGTGTTGCGATAGTTGTCTGTAACAATAAATAGCAGTGCTCGCCATAAGCATTTTTTATATATCTCAGCACCTCACATTGATGAACCAACGGTTGTGTGCTATAATCATTTTCTTATTAAAATTTCTTAAATTATTAATCTTAGTGTGCACATGCAATTCCCGCTGATTCAGTCACAATAACGTAAAGACCAAGACTACAAAGAAATTAATTTATTTGGAATAGTATAATCAAATTGCCTTTACAAATGAATTTCAACAAATCTCAATCTTCCTCTAACCAAATTACAGGTTAGAATGGTACATTGACCATGATTTAAAAATTATGCACTTGATTTGTTATCTTTTGCTTCTTTGGCTATCTCACTGGCCTCATCAATCACTGGTTCAATGAACGAGTCCAACTTTTCCTCCATTGCCTCAATCTGCATTTCCATTTCAATAATCCCACATTATTTATTTTCAAAGCAAATTGAGCTCATATTAAATAAAAAAAATTGATTATATACCAAATAAAATAAAGGGTATGAGTTGAAAGTTGAAACCTTATCGATGAATTGTTCAACTACATGAGCATCCTTAGCAGCTTTGTTGGCCATTTTTTCAACATTAGCAAAGGCTTTTTGAAGTTTTCCACCTTCAGGAAGCTCATCGCCAATTTCGTCTGCCACCTTCTCCACTTGCTCCGCTATATTTTCTACAGCTTCTGTTACACGGTCCGCTGTCTCCACCGCGTGTTCAATTTCCTCTATACATGCATCAAAAGTTTAACGAGTCCAGGTTTAGTTTGCCAAAAATAAAACTTACTATATATATACATATACACACACACACACACAATCGCATAAAAAATATGAATATTTGCAAGGATGGTATGCGTTAAGTAGTACATATTGGTCCTTACTTCTCAGTTTGAATAATGGCCCCCATTTGAACCTCAAAAATGGCACAATTGCTGATATTAGCATTCCTACAATCCAATGTTTCCTGTATATATAGCAAAAGTATTTTTAGATTTAGAACCCCCAAAAGTAAAATAAAAATTAAATTGCACTGTTAAGTGAAAGATGAACAAAAGAATTGAATGAACATTAATGGGTCATGTGCACAATAGATGAGTCTAATTTAAACTTACAAAGAGTTTGAAGGGGGTCCTGAGGGAAGTGGAGCTCCTGGTTGGACACTGCTATAGACAGCCAAGTCCCTGCATATGCATCAATATATAAATATATATAATTAGCTGAATTATATGGAAACTGGATATATATGTGTGTGTGTGTGTGTATATATATATATATATGTATTACCTCTTTGTATTGGCATGGGTTTGACCTCTCTGGCCAATCCTGATAACTCGCAACATCCTGTTAGCCGGAAAACAAGATATATTCCTGTGTTTGGAGATTGCAGCTGAATGATCAGAAATGGGATTGAAGATGAATGTCTGAGAACTCCTGGAAGGATTGATATGAAGCTTGGTGAAGCTAACTATCAATCTTGTCGTCGACATAGTCTGTGTTTTTAGGCTTGGAATTGATTTCTACTGTGTACTGGAATTGATAAGATTGTGTAGCTATATATACGTATATATATAAGAAATTGAGGGTTTGTAGTAGATAAAGATTGACGACTGTATAAAGAAATAATACATGGTCAATGACTTGTTAAAATGGTTGAACCACTCCATAAGAATGTTAAATACGCGTTGTTTCATTGGTCAAGAAGCTTCATATCAATATTATAAATATTGAAAAGTCAATTCTGCAATCTCTAATCCTAGTTATATACACATTAACGCATATTTTTCAAATTCAACTGTTTAGTTCTCTAACTTTTACATATTCAATTTCCAGATTTCCATGTACCTTCCAATTTTAATTGCCCCATTTTTTATACAGAAAAAAGTTAACACCACTTTTTATATCTCGATCATAATTAATCATTAACACGTGCAGTTCTTCAATCTCAAATGTCAAATGTATCTACCCATTATCAAAAAAAGTGACTCACCAAATTAATGACCATTTCATCCCTCGGTATGTTTTTCCAGTTAATCATGTTCCACATGGAGGCTAAAGTGATATGAAAATTTGATTTGATCATATGAAAAATGGAAGCAAGTTTACCATGAGTTTTGTCTGCCTCTGGATCCTTGATAATGACGGGAGTGATTTTAGTGACAATGTAATCTGGCTTTTTCCTTTTTAGAAATTAATAGAGAGAATATAAAACAATTTTTGAGAGAAAAAAAAATACATATATAAAACAATTTTAGAGATATATCATAAGTGGGTACATGAGTTAATTTTTGTACTATGTTTCTAAATAAAACACAATTCAAGAAAACATATATTCAAGTGAATAAATTTTTTGCTTTTATTTCTTCTTTAAAAGCAAAAAATGATATTAACAACAAATAATTTCATAACAATGGCGCTAAAAGAAATTGTCAAATGCCACTGGTAAATGGTCTAGTTGGTGAATAATGGCTTTAGTTAATGTCAAATTGTCAAACACGCGCATTGAATTAGGAATACAATCCACATTGAATTAGTTAATGTCATCGGTACTCATCATTTAACAAGACTTGTTTTCAACGCTTCCTCCTACTTGTCTATGATGATGATGCATTTGGATAGGACAATAAAAATATATATTTTGGGGTACCCGCTAGGTTTTTTCAATTTGGGGATTTTTAGTATTTATTTATTTTTTAATTATAAAAGACCACTAGTAATGGAACGAATTTTTTGCAGCTTAGAGCTACTCTGGGGGTATCGAACCTAAAGATTGTGATGGTTTATCAAGTTTAAAATTAATTACTATTTTAATTTAGAGAAAAAATGTGTTTGTTGTGATGATGTTCAAATAGCATGAGAATAAAATAAGACAATAGATTAAACTGAGATCAAGGGAGATAAATACTTAGGGTTTGATTTCACCACGAATCTCTCAATATGGTCAACTGATTCAACTTTAGGTATTTCAATATTTATGTATAATTAGGAATTAAACGAATTAACATTCTATTTGATTCAATTTGAAAAAGATAAATTAAGAATGTTTATTAAAAATAACCTATCTTCAGTTGCCACGAATTATCTACCTACCTACTCTAAACTAATTTGCAGAATAATTTTTCTTCCCCAAGTATAAACTATCAAACATTTATTCATAAAAACGGTTTAAGTACCATTGCATAATCACTATTCTTATTGTTATGAGAAGTCCTGAGCCTCCTATCCCAAGCACTAAGAACAGTTTGAATTAGATTTAACAAAAATTAATTGTAAAACAAGATGTTAATTTTATCCAAAATCAATTTTATTTCATTAAAAACCCAATTGCTTATAAGATCTAAGTTAATTGCTCACAATCATGCAATCAAAATACATAAATACTAAAAATCCCCAAAGTTGAAGAACAATCTGTGAGATATATATATATATATATATATATATATATATATATATATATATATATATATATATATTGGGGAGATTGTGAAAAATATATATTTTGTAATTGGCTAATTTCGTTATCAAAACAAGCTCGATCGAGTTGTAAAATTTCGTTCAGAATTTCAAGATTAAAGATCGGATGTGGATTTGAAGAAGTTCTAGTGTTTATGCTTTAATACATTCCATGATGATGAGAACAATGTTTTAGAAATGTATATGAGTGTGTGAGAACAGTAAGGAAGTTTAAAGTACTTAGGAAGTTTACATTCTGCCTATTTAGTACTGGTAGCCAAATCTAGTACTGGGTAGCCAAATAGAAGAATTATATTCTGTCCATTAGGAACTGGTAGCCAACTTTGGTATTGGTAGCTAAATAGAAGAATTATATTCTGTCCATTGGAAACCGGTGTTGGAAACGGGGGCATTAAAAATATAAACTTTGGATGAGATTTGGAATAGATTTCGCTAAGAATTTTTTGCAGATCTTTAGACGAGCGCGTTTCTCTCCGCAAGGAGATGAACGTGATATATTTACTTTCTCAAATCCGTTTCTGGGTGAATGAGAAATTAGCTCCAAAGTGTGGTATTTTGATAAGCCTAAATGAGTTTGTAAAATGTGGAAAGTGTTTTTCCCACATGGAAAAAATGTTGAAGCCAATTGAAATTTAAATAAGCCAAATTTAGGATTTGGGCTTGGGCTTGGGCTTGGTCTTGGGTCTAATTGTAAAGTTCGATTATTCTTTTTACTAAATGGAATTTAGGATTGGGCCTTTATTTTTGGGCTGGGCTTATTTAAATGGGTGGTTGGTTTTTGAATTTAAATTAAAAGTTAGTTTTTTTTAAAGGGTTGCATCTATTTCTAAAGGGTTGCATCTATTTTCCAAAGGGTTGCATCTGTTTCTAAAGGGTTGCAACTTGTGATGAACCAACATGACCCATGGTTGCACCCATACCCGAAAAGACACTTTGCTTCATATAAATACTCCCCTTTAGGGTCATTTGCTATCACACCAATTCAGAAAATCATTTTTCTCTTTATGAATTATCTTTTTCCTTCTTTCTTCTTCTATATAATTGTCTGTGGGTTCGAGCTCTAGTCTATGGGTTCGAGCCTTAGTCAGTGAGTTCAAGTCCGATTTCGAGTCAGAGAGTACTACACCGAGCCAGTTCGTCTATTCCTTTGGTTTGCAATGTTACTACCGAATGAAGATAAGTCGTTATATCCTGGGAGATAGACGCCACTGAATCCGTTAGCACCACAGCGGGGTAAATCTGTCTTAAGGATATAGAATCAAATTCTAGCCTCGAATTTTAATCAGGTTCCTTTATTTCTAGTTTTTATTTTATTTTTTTAAACTATATATTATAAGTAATTATATATATAGATTATTATTTTATAATAATTATATATATATATATATATATATATATATATAAACATTATATTTTTACATAATATTTAAATAAATAGTACTATAGTATATGGTATACTTAGACCATATTTTGGACTATAATCTTAAGACAGATTCCGCATTACTATAGTATTAATTATTTAATTATTATTGTTGTTGTTATAATTACTGTAATTTGACTTGTGGTCTATATATATAATATAATTAGACGAATGGCAAGTATAAGTACTACTATGCCTAATGTTCCCGTCAGTCATGGGGAGAAGCCCGAAAAATTTAATGGGGCTGAGTTTAAAAGGTGGCAACAGAAAATGATGTTCTACCTTACAATTCTGAATCTAAGCAAGTATCTAACTAAGACTATCCCAGTACTAGAAGAGGACGAAACTGATATTACAAAGTTAGGAACTGTCGATGCATGGAAGAATGGAGACTTCCTATGCAAGAATTACATCCTCAATGGATTGGACAATACTTTATATAATGTGTATCATCCAATGAATACTGCTAAAGAGCTCTGAGAGTCATTAGACAAGAAGTATAAAACAGATGATGCTGGCTTGAAGAAGATCGTGGTCAGACGATTTCTGGACTTCAAAATAATAGGCTCAAAGACAGTAATGAGCCAAGTACAAGAGCTCCGGCTAATCCTACATGAGATACATGCTGAGAAGATGACTTTGAGTGAATCTTTTTAAGTAGCTTCAATCATTGAGAAGCTGCCACCTACTTGGAAAGATTTCAAAAATAACTTGACGCATAAGCGCAAGGAAATGGGGCTCGAAGACCTGATTCTTAGGCTGAGAATTGAAGAAGATAACCGTACATCTAAAAAGAAAGTCAGGAATTATTCAATGGTGTCAAAGGCAAATGTAGTGGAAACTGGATAGAAGAATAACAAGAGGAAGTACTCTGGCGAAGGTCCAGCCAAAGAAACTACAAGAGGTTCACTGGGAAGTGTTTCATATGCGGCAAGCTAGGACACCGAGCTAAAGACTGTCGTAGCCGCAAAGCACAACACAACCCCAAGAAAAAGACAGGTGCATATTACTGAGGAAGATAAATTGATAGCTAATGTGTCAGAGCTAAATCTTTTAGCTGTTGTTTCTGAAATCAACCTGGTGAGCAACAATAGAGAATGGTGGGTGGACACAGGAGCTACTTGTCATGTTTGCTCTGAAAAGAGGATGTTCACTACCTATGAAGCTATAAATAATGAGGAACAACTCTACATGGGGAACTCTTCTACTGCAAAGGTTGAAGGACAAGGAAAGATTAAGCTACTAATGACCTCAGGGAAAGAACTCACTCTTAATAATGTGTTGCATGTACCAGACATCAGGAAGAACTTGGTCTTTGGGTCACTTCTAAGCAAGAATGGGTTCAAGCTGGTCTTTGTATCTGACATGTTTGTGCTGACTAAGAATGGGGTATATGTAGGCAAAGGGTACCTTAGTGATGGATTATTCAAATTCAATGTAATGACTGTTGTACCCAAAGCTATTAATAATAATAAAGCGAATGCTTCTGCTTATATGATTGAGTCATCTGATGTGTGGCATGGTAGGTTAGGGCATGTTAATTATGATACGATTCATAGATTAATTAACATGGATTCTATACTTAAATATAGTATTGATTTATATAAAAAATGTCAAACATGCGTAGAAGCAAAACTGACTAGAACCTCATTTAACTCTATAGAGCGAAGTACTGAA